GGGGTGTGAGAGGTCCAGGAATGGGGGGTTGTTGATGTATCTCTATGTAGTTCCTCTTGGGACAGGTTTGAGCTCCAAGAAGCAGGTGAGCCTGCTTCTACATAGTAGCTATTAGGGGTGCATTTACCAGTCTACCTTTGTGCTGTTGGATGGCCCTTTTTCTGTCTGGTTGCTCATGGCAGTAGGGCAGACAGACATTTGTGTTGGTTCTGTTTTTATGTTGCCCTTCTGTGTGTGAGATCTGGCTCTAAGTCAGTGGTTCTCAACTTGACCCTTTAATACAGTTCTTCATATGGTGATGACCCCTAACCATAAAATTATTTTCATTGCTACTTTATAACTGTAATTTTGTTACTATTATAAATCATAATGTAAATATCTGTGTTTTCTGATGGTCTTAGGCAATCCCTGTGAAATGTTCATTTGACCCCCAAATGGGTTGTGATTCACATATTGAGAACCATTGCTCCAAGTAGCCCACCGGACTAAATTTCCACCTTTTGGGAAGCTGTGTGATTGTGACTCAAAGTTGTCCCCATCCTCAGTCCTCAAATCATAGTCCCAAGACACATGTCCCAGGGTGAGTTAAGCAGGATGGGGCCTTTCTTTCTAGAGCTTCCTGGGAACTGACTTGGCAGGGGTCTTTGTAAAATGGCTTCTGCCATTGCTGCAGTCCCATCCCAGAATAAAGGAGGTTTCCCTAGAGCCTTCCTGCCCTGTGTAGGCCCCACCCTTGAAGTCTGGCTTTCTCCACTTCTCTCTCTCTCTCCTTCCCTCTCACCCTTCTCACTCTCCCTCTTCCACCTCCTCTCTCTGATGTGACTGAAAACACAGTGCACATTTTAAGAGGCTGTGATCTGGAGCCGAGGTTCCAACCCTCTATGTGATTCACACCCTCCTTTCTATGAACACAGAGCTCCTGGGTCAGGACTGAGGCCTTCACATTACAATTTGAAGTTTCTTTCCTGGTATGTTCCCCAGAGTCTCCTCCTACCCTTTCTCTTTTCTGCTAAAAGTAGTGTGTTCTTGCTGCCAGGAAGGCGGCTTTCCAACCATGCCCCTTTTATTAAACCCCAGGTATTCTAACAGTCCATGTATGGGTATAATATGCTATCTTTTATCCCAATTGAATCTTTAAAAAAAGGCATTGGGTGGGTGGAGACATGACTCAGAGGGAAAGAATATGTATCATTCTTGCAGAGGACCTGAGTTCAACTCCCAGCACCCATGTCATGCAGCTTAAAACTATAACTCCAGCTCCAGGGGACCTGAAACCCTCTTCTGGCCTTGGCTGGTAACTGATATTGGCACTCACATGCACTTACTTTGGTCTTTTTATTTTGAGCTTGAAATTTATGTCATTAGAAAGACATGTATTTAATATCTGGATATTTCTGTACTAAAAATATATCATCAAACAATCACAACAACATAAGAAATACAATTTTATACACATCAACCAAGGAAATTTTACCTAGAAAAATACACAAGGCAAAAGATAACCATAAGACCACACTGTGGTGAAACATAAAAATATTACAGTATTTTAAGATAAACAAACAAACCACTTAAGTTTTCACTGCCTTTTCCCCCTTTGACTACTGGAGTCACTAAAGAAAAATGCAATTAAGTTCTTGAGGTAGACTTGGATTAACTTAACTCAGCTCTTGCCCTTCCTCACTTGTAGTGCTGAAGACTGCTATTGAAGGTGCTGGAAATGCGACCTCCTGAGATGTGTGGCTACTGAAAGTAACCTCTGGGCTCTGTTCCCATTCCCTACTAGAAACAGAATGTCCTTCAGTGCTTGAGCTCAGCATGTCATGTGGTCCTGAGCAAGTTGGTTTCTGGGGGCTCCTCTCTGCAGGTCAGGTTGGGTGCAGGATGTCTTCCTGGTTTGGGGGGGATCTGGCTGACAGTGGAATTTAGGCTGCTGCTTCTTGGTGTCCATGAAGTAATGAATGCTTTTCAGTTAGCTATTCTTTGTCCCCAGACTCAGATAGGTAGGGAGCTAGTGTATACTGAAACTGCTCCACAAGATACACCTTATCTGTTTTCTGACTTCTACAGCAGTGTCTTCAAATTACATGGCTTTTAAGTCCTTTCCTTATAATCACTTTTCTGGTCAAAGTATGGCATAACTATCTGAATCCTTTTTGAAATGTTCACATACAGAGTAAGTGGCCTTTGGCTTTCTGGTGGTAGTTTTCTTTCAAACTTATGGCTAGTGATGTACTCAACAGATAGACACCGGCAGTCAAACCTGCTGACCTGGTTTGATCCCTGTGATCTATATGATAAAAGGAGAGAACCAACTCCAGAAAGTATCCTGTAACCTCCACAGGTGGATTGGCATGTGTACACAAACACAAAAATGCAATAAGTTTTATATTAATCTAAGGATTGGTACTGGCATTCCTATTTAACTCAGTATTTTTATTTCTTTTTAGAAAATACTAGCATTCATTAAATTATTTTCATAGTTTCAAAGTACAGTGTAATTATCCTGAGTTCCTATTAAACGTTTAAATAGCAGTTAGACTCTTCAATGTTTTTATTTTATTGCTTTCTTAAGTTAGCATATAAAGTAATGGATTCATACGGCGTTTTAATGCATACAGATAATTTTACTTTGCTCCTGTCCATTCCCCTCCCCTAATGCCCTATACCCTCGTCTGTCTTTCCCGTCACCTTGCCTCCCCTCAGATAGTCCCTTTCTGCTCTCATGCTGTGTGTGTCCATTGCTCACTCTCTCTTGGTCTCTCTCCCCTGTCACTTAAAGTCACTTCCTCCTCTTTCATTTGGCTCTTTTCACCATGTGGGTTTGGAGATGGAACTCAGGCTTCAGTCTCAGCCATGTGTGCCTTTACTTGCTGAGCCATCTTGCTGGCTCCAAAGAAACTGTTTTTTGTTGTTGTTATGTCAGGGCCATCCTGATTTTCTTATAATAGTATTACAGCTTTGTACTATAATTTGAAATTAGGTATTGTAATACTTTGACATTTGCTCAAGATTGCTTTGGCTATTTTGGGTCTTTTGTTATTCTGTATGAATTTTGGCATTGTTTTTCTATTTCTATGTAGATCAGAAAGTTTAATGAGGATTGTATTGAATCTGTAGGTTCCTTTTGACAGTATATCCAGTTTTACAATGTTGATTCTGCCAACTCATAAATATGGGGGAGGGGGTTTTATGTCTTCTGGTGTCTTAGATTTTTGTTTTCGGAAATCTTTCACCTCCTTGGTTAGGCATATTTTATTTTTAATTTTTGGGAGTTATTATAAATAGGCTTTCTCTCCCTGATGTCTTTCTTAGAAAGTTTGTTATTAAGATATAGAAAGGTTGCTGATTTCTGTGTCTTGATTTTGTACCCTGCTACTTTGTTGAGAGAATTTTGATATGAATTTTGGAGTCATTGGTATCTTTTAAGAATAGGATCATGTCATATGCAAATAGGGATACTTTGGCTTCTCCCTTTTTTGTGTGTCCCTTTTACTTTCTCACCATATTACTGTAGCAAAGACTTTGAGCAATATATTGAATAGGAATAGCAAGAATGAGTACTCTCATTCCTGATTTTAGAAGCAATGATTTTGAGTTTTTCCCCATTTAGTGTAATGTTGGCTGTATGTTATATATAGCCTTTATTATGTTGAGGTATATTCCTTCTGCTCCCATGTTGTATACAGCCTTTACTATGTTGAGATATGTTTCTAATGCTCCTAGTTTCCTCAGACTTGTAGTATGAAGAGTTGTTGAATTTTCTGTCTATTAAGGTGATTGCATGAGTTCTGTCCTCAACTAACTAGAGATTCTTTTGATTTTACTTTTATGATTCAAATGCAAATTTGAATTATTTTACCATACATCTGCCTTAAATTATTTAAGAAAACCTCATAAGAATCATAATTAAATCCGGGTGGATGGTGGCGCATGCCTTTAATCCCAGCACTCGGGAGGCAGAGGCAGGTGGATCTCTGTGAATTCGAGGCCAGCCTGGTCTACAAGAGCTAGTTTCAGGACAGCCTCCAAAGCCACAGAGAAACCCTGTCTTGAAAAACCAAAAAAAATCATATTTAAGCTGTAATATGTAAATACACATCATGATGACAACCTATCTTTTTGGGATAGTGGCTTGCTCACTGTTTATATAGTCAGCCCTCAGAGGCCTGGTGTATCTTATATAGCCTACAGTAGCCTCAAAGTCACTCTTTTGCTGTCTTAGTCATCTGATTACTGGGGTTATGTGTGTTCCCATGCCCACTTCTATAATTCTTTGGTTGTGGCCTTAATCCTCAATGTGATGGCACTCATAGGTTGGGACCTTTAGTATATAAATTAGGGCTACATGAGGTCATACGGTGCGTTCTCATGATAGTATCTTTGTAAGAAGAGACATGAGAGTTCTTTCTCAGGGTTCTCATAGGAAGCAAAGGTCATGTGAGTCTATAGGGGACTGGTAACTACTTACATGCCAATAAAAGTGTCCTTAGAATGAGCCTGAATCTATGGGCTAGTCCCAAGTAGACACATATTTCTATTGTTTAAGCCACCCAGACTATGGTGCTTTTTTTCCCAGCATCCTGAACAGATTCTTTCAGTTTCTGTCTCATATATTATATATGTGGATACTCAGATATACTACATCATGGCAACCTAAACAGTAATCAGAGATTTTCCTAAGATTCTTGGAGAATAGCATTTCAGTGGGAGTATGTATGCCATGGTAAACCTTGAGTAACAAAATTTGGGCAAAGGAAAGTTTTTAAAGGTAAAAGTGATAATGATTACGAAAGACACCTGAAATTGTCATTCTTGGCCACAAGATAAATAATAGTAGTGCCAATCATACATTGAAGAAGACAGTTGTTGGGCCAGAGCCCTTGAACCAGAATGTGTTTAGTTCATAAGTATTCTTAGTTCTTTAATGAAACAGCATTGTATCATGCTCTTTAGAGATGGTGTTGAATTTTAAACACATTTTATTATCACCTTTCCTTAAGGTATTCCCATCTGTCAGCAGCACTTAATTTGGAATAACATGGAGCTTGAAGATGATTATTGCTTGAATGATTACAAGTGAGTGTAATTACATAGTAGCAGCTGTATAGGTACTCAGTATTATAACTCCACATACCAGTGTTTCTTCATGTCTCTCCTGGACAGCTTGACCCCAGCTTTCATTCTGAATTCTGACCTCTAGATGTGTTGTCTCAGTACAATCTTTGTTCTTGATCTTTGTTCTCTGATATTTGTACTTCACCTTTAGTTTTTCATGCTGAGCTGTTAGTCCCTGCCTTCTTGCATGGTTGTATTAATTTGTCTCCTCGGTTTTTTTCTTTGAAAATGGACCCATTCTCACCTGGCCATGTTTCTTTTCTTCCCATTTTCACCAGTTTTGGGTATGAGAGAGTTGCTCTCCACTGAGCCTTTGTTCGTTAGGCCCCCTTTCTGTGTAAGAAGTGGCACTGTGTGCACCAGTGGTTACAAGTGTGCTTTCTGACGTCTGCCTTCCCCTTTCCCTTGTATAATTTATCACACTGAAGACAAAGGAGTTAGGAGGCAGAGAGTGGAAGAACGCCAGGTGTTAGCAGAGCTGGTGGACTTGCAGGGTTATTTTTATTCTATTGAATGACTTTTATGTTTCCTAATTCTTCGGGTTTTGACTAAGTTTCTTTTCTTTCTTGGACCTCCTTTTTGTATTTTTCGAGACAGGTTTCTCTGTGCAGGTCCGGCTGTCCTGGAAATTGCTCTGTAGACCAGGCTGGCCTTGAACTCACAGGAATCCACCTGCCTCGACATATGGAGTGCTAGGATTAAAGGCATGCACCACCACTGCCTGGCTGGGCCTCCTTTTTTAAAAAGCTTATGAGAACTTATAAACTTTCTATAATTTATACAGGCAAATAATGTATTTATATTGTGGTATCTTCATATTTTAGGGAATATATAGTAGTGCTAATAAATCAGCACATAATTAGTGGTTCATTTGACACTGATTGTTTTTGTTGATTGTAGTTTATTTTGTGCTAATTATTCACAGCATTTCAGAAGGTTGTACCTTGAAGCTGGTATTGGCTATGCGTGGTGGACCAATAAGTACTAGAAAAGGTAGGCATACATTAAAGCAATCTAACAGTCACTCTTGAATAATTTAGCAGTGCTATTTTTCAAAGGGTTAATGTTTTTATAGGCTCTATTTTTAGCCAACTTCCTTTCCTGCAGAAGGTCTTTGATTCTTTTAGGCATTATTCTTTAAAACCTAGATATATAAATACTGGGATTCCAAAATATAATCCTAGAGTAAACCCACGATTCTGGCTTCAATCCAGGGATATTTAAAAATAAGTCTTAGTAGTAAAGGGAGGATAAATGGAATGGTAATATAAATATCACATTAGCATTGCATTTAGATTCATGTCAGCCTTGCTGCTTTTTAAACTACAAGTTTTAAATTCCTGGGATAATTATTTGCTATAGGAAATTCCTGAATTGCCTATTTACCTGGGACGAAACTGAATTTCATAGTCCTGTTGAATCCTTTCTCAGAATATGGTGGTCTCTGGAATCCAATCATTCATTCAACAAATGCATAATGAGCATTGTAAAGAGGTTTTTCCTTGAGAGGAGTCTTCCTGCCATCCTGGTTCTAGAGCCGCATCAGTCCCAAATAAACACACAGGAGGCTATATTCATTATGAAACTGTTGGCCTTGCTTGTTTCTTACTGGCTGGCTCTGACTTAAGTAATTACCCCATAATTGTTAATCCAAGTATGTTTCTTACCGGAGAAGTTCCGGGCTTCCTACCCCATGGCAGTTACATCTCAACTCTCTTTGTGTTTCTCCTTCCCAGAGTCCTCCTGGACTCCTAGTCCCACCTATCTAGATTCCCTATTGGCCAGACAGTGCTTTATTGACAAATGCACAGGACTTCCCCAACAGAGCATCTACTGCATTCTAAAATATATTTTAATTTATTTTAGTAATATGTATATGTATGTGTTTCTGCGTGTGTATGTGCACATGAGTGCAGGTACCTGAAGAGGCCAGAAAAAGGCATTGGATCCCCTGGAGCCAGAGTTTCAGGGTGGTTATGAGCTCCCCAGTGTGGGTCATGGGAACTGAACTGGGATCCTCTGCAACAGTAGTATGTGCTTCTAACTGTGGAGCCATTTCTCCAGCTCCATCTATTGGGTTTTGAATGACTGTCCCAAGTGCAGTAAACAAGGGAGACAGAGTCTCTGCTTCATAACACCACCTCTAATAAATATATGAGAAATTGATAGAATTTGAGGTGTTTGTAAGTTGAGTGTGGGAAACAAACTGGATACTGTGATAAGATCTATAGAAATATAGTAGGAGAGGTATGTGGGAAAGATGACATGAGCAGAAACTTAATTATTAAAAGATTTGTTTTAGTGTTATTGCTTTGAGGAGACAACATGACAATGGCAACTTTTATAAAAGAAAGCATTTAATTGAGGCTGGCTTACAGTTTCAGAGGTTTAGTATGTTATCCCCATGGCAGGGAACATGGTGACACATAGCTAGATATGGTAGCTGAGAGTTCTACATTCAGATCTGCAGGCAGCAGGAAAAGAAAGACACCGGACCTAGTTTGAGCTTTTGAAACTTCAAAACCCACCCCCAGTGACACACTTCCTCTAATAAGACCATACTTCTTAAACCTTGTCAAGTAGTGCCACTACCTAATGACCAAGAGTTCAAATATATGAGCCCATAGAGGCCATTCTCATTCAAACCACCACAAGGTCTTAATTCAGGGAAGAGCTTGGAGCATGCTTACTGGCCCCCAAGTCAGGTTTGTCACAGGCATCCCCACCACATAGAGCCATGCTCATAGTAGTTCTGCTCTGTGGCCCTAATTTTAAGAAGGCCTTCACATTTGTTTGCTCCTCCATAAACTAGAAAACTGGAAAACGAGTATCGATTCCATTGCTGACTTATTCCCACATGCCAAATTATATCCCCCTGCTTTATAATTTTGGTTAAAATTGGATTATTAAAATGCTTTTTCTTTTTTAAGATTTATTTTTATATTATGTATATAGTGTTATGCCCAGAAAAGGCAACAGATCTCATTATAGGTGGTTATGAGCCACCATGTGGATGCTGGAAATTGAACTCAGATCCTCTGCAAGAGCAGTCAGTGCTCTTAACCTCTAAGCCTTCTCTCCAGCTCCCAAATTGTTTTTTCTTATCTACCTTAAAAGCAGTTCGTGAGAACTGTTAAACTATTTTGCATAAATTAGAGAAAACAAAAGAAATAATCTTAAGGCTGATTAACTAGTTCTCTGACATCAGAGATTCTCTATTAATTTATTTCTGAAGTAGTTTTATGGGATAGAGAGATGGCTCAGCAGTTGAGACTGCTTGCTTCACAATCATGAGGACTAGAGTTCAGAACCCAGCACTCATGTTACCAGGCAGGCATCCCATAAATGCCTGTTTAACTTACACATCCTCAAATGCATGTGCAAATACACTCATGCAGACACATAAATAAATAAATAACTAAATAAATAAATTTTAAAAAGAAATGATTGTATGTCACATTGGCAATATTTATACTAGTGAGAATTGTTCAAGAGCTCTGTTTACTGAGCCATTATATCAAGTTAGAGTTAGATAGTAGGTAATGGTTTGTGCATTCTATTTTAGGAAGTTGGTAATATGTTCTGTTACATCTTTAAAACTCATTAAGTCTCTCAGATTCATCATTTGGAAAGTGCCTTCATCATGTGAATTGCAATACTATTTAGCTCTTAAGATAGCCATTATCCTAACGACATGGGGAAGCAGGCATGAATGGTATACATGTGTAATCTGAGCACTCATGCAGCTAAGGTGAGGCAATCACAAGTTACAGGCAGTTTGGGGCATAGAGTGTTAAGGCTTTGACTTCAAATAAACAGCACAAGAAAACAGCCTTCTCTTTCTAAGCTTATATCTGAAACTGCATTGCTTTTAAGTGACAAAATCTTAGTGAGTATTCAGTTATGAAGAGGCATGCACACATAGACAACCTTTTCACCCCTCCAGCATAAAGCATGAGTTTAAGAAATGCTTTTAGTAACTGTGGTAATAATTACTTCTTAGTGCCGTAATATGGAAAGTGGTACTTTGAAGTTTCGAAAATAGTTCGAAATATTGTGGCGTTTACCTGTCTTCCTGACCATGTAGGAGCCTGAGGCAGGAGGATTGAAAGTTAAAGTGAGCCAGGCAAAGTAGCCAAAGAAGAAGGCAAGAAGCTATGTGAATATTATCATTTTAATATTTATACATTTTATGACTGAAAGAGCAGATCAAAATGTTAATGCTTTAGACATAGTGGTATTGAACTTAGACTATAGGGCATCTTTGATACTTTTACCTCATTACTTTCAGAGTTTAATATTTTTCTGTTAGTGTTTCATTTTATTTTAGTTTTCTTTCCAGTGCTGGCAGTCAAGCCTTGAGCCTTGTGCATGCTAGGCAAGTACTCTCCCACTCACTTGTATTCCATGTTGGGGCCACTTCTTAAGGGCATTGCAGTGTTCCAACTTTGTTAAGTAAATGAAAGCTAGGCAACTTTGAAAGTTGAGGACAACTGGGTATCACTGGCCTACCAGCTATGAGGCGTGTCAGAGTGGCTCCAGTTGGCCTCTGTGAGTCTTACGCTCTGACTGGACTGACGCACACACCCTGACCAAGACACCTGGGTCATGAGAGGAGCCTCTCAAAAAACACAATATTGCTCCTTTCATACAGGGCTGTTTTAGCAACCAAAACACCTCCCCTATGCTATGCTTGAGCATTTTAAAACTCTTCAAAAAGCAATTATAAAAAGTCTATCCTTATATAAAACTGAAGGGAGAAAACAATTTGCTTGTTTTTTCCTTCTTTGTTGCTTTATTTTGTTGTTTTCTTTTGCTGCTGCAGACTGGACCTAGGACCTTGGGCGTGCTAGATAGTCACTCTACCACCAAATTTTGTCTCTTGCTCTCTGATTTCTTGAGTGTGTCCTCCAATTGTGTGTATGTGTGCATGACTATCTTATAATCTAAAGTAGTGGGATTTATAATACATTTAAGTGATTGATAGTTGGAACCAGTGAATCAAAGCACAGGAAGCTAAAGGGGTCTAGATAAAATAATAATACTATATGACCTCATGTTTTAAGTTAAGCCCTGTCTTTGGGCATGTAACATAATGATGCATTTTTTCTTTCATATTAATACAAAACAAGCCATGAATTTGAGATGTTTGAGAAACATAGGAAGAATTGGAGGAAGGAGAGGGAAAGTGATGAAAATATAATACTTATTAAATTCTCAAAAATTAATAAGGGATGCTGTATGAAATATAAAATATCAGAAGCCTATTGGAGAGTGTCATTTATCACATGTACCGTGTGGTTGTATAAATTCAGCATATATATCCTATTACTATAAGAAGATGCAAAAATGTTGATATGAATTGAAAGTCTGTTTATCAATCTTTCCATTTGTAGTTCCCGTGGAAGACCCACTTAGGGAGCTTGCTGAGTACATGGATTCCAGTCAAGATGAGGTCTGGGAAAAGACCTCTTGCAACAAACAAGTTACGTTTTTGGTATACCGGGAAGGCGATCAATTGAATTTCTTTCGTGTAGTAGATAGGGGAGATGGCACTTTAACACCGTTATCTGAATCTTTAAGGTAAATAGGTTTCATTTGCACATTTCACTTAGGAGACTGTACAGCACACTTCAGGAGCCTTTTGTGTTCTTTAGGTTATTGAAGCAGATGTAGTGTATTAACAAGACCCCCAGTAAGTTCCATGGGTTCACCACCCCTTTCCTTCCTGTGATTGATACTTAAAAAGGAATTCCTAAATTTTAATTTTATTTACATGATAGTTTTTAATAAAAATGGTTTATTTCCATTTCTTTGTGAAACTCTAAGATGAGTATTAGAAGATAGTCTTGTGATAATAGTGTATCATTATATAATCATGACATAGTAGAAAGGGTTAACCCTAAAGTTGGTATCATTTTTAACTCTGCTACTTAAAAATGGGTAAATCTTTCTTGTTTATTTTGCTACTATGTAAAAGGAAATAAATTATATATTACTTTTAAAGCCAGAAGGAAAACACTTAAGTAGGCAGTAGAAAATGAAAGAATTGGGACAAGGTAACTTCCTAAGTTTTTGTGCATTTTAACTTACTATGAGTCGTTCCTTTCACTTTTATTTTTATTTTTTCTCTGTTCTAAATTTTTATTACTAATTTATTTTTACATTCCAATCCCAGTTTCCCCTCCCTCCTCTCCTCCCACTCCCCTCCCCCACCTCCCATCTGCCCCTTGGAGAGGGCAATGCCTCCCCTTAGAAGTGTACTAAGTCTGTCCCATCATCTCGTTGAGGCAGGACCAAGATACCTCTCCACCTCACATATCACTGTGTCTAGGCTGAGCAAGGTATCTCTCCATATAGAATGGGCCCCACTAAGTCAGTTTGTACATTAGTGTTAGATCTTGGTTCCACTGCCTTTTATTTTTAATTATAGTTTTTATTTGTGTGTATGTGTGTTGGCGTGATTTACCACGATGCACGTGGAAGTCAGAGGATATCTCGGTAGAGACAGTTCTCTCTTTCCACCCTGTGGATCCTAAGGATTGACCTCATGTAATAAGGCTTGGCAGCAAGTGCTTTGACTGGTTGAACCATCTCTTCAGCTCTCTTTTCACTTTTAAGTCATAAAACATAATTGTCTGTTTTAGCCAGTACTAGTTAATATAGAGGTACTGGTGTAATAAAGAGTATCTCCACCTTCATTGAGCATTCGTCTACTAGCTATAGTCCTGGTGCTATGATGTTGCAAAAGGATGTGACCTCTGGGATCAGATGAGTTGGCTTTCATTTCACCTGAAATGTAGAGTTAGAGATAGCCTGTGAGACATGATCTTAAATGAAGAGGAAGACTTTGCTAAACAGACAAATAAAGGAAAAATACTGCAGGTAACTAAAGTGAAGCTCACAAAAAGATAGAAATCTAGTGCTAAAAATATTCAAAAGAAAACCCAGCTTGTGATCTGGAGAGCTGTGTCTTGGGGTGAGATATCTACATCCAGTATAGCTTGTGCTTTGTTCAGCAACCTCCCCCCCATCTAATACTAAAGGTGACAGCAATGTGTGTTCTATAGTTTTGTTAAGGGAAAGAACCTGCTCTTACTATCATATTCACAATATAATAGAATTCACAATGGCAATTGAGGGCCCTGGGTTTTTCTGGCTGCTTGTTGGCTAGAAGTGTATCTCAGCTCCCTCTTGATTAACTCAGAACAAAGTGATTTGGGGCCTAAATGAAATCTTCAGAATCCCTTTACTTTTGCCATATTCAGTTGAGCAGACCAGTCAGATTGGGTCATACCCATACTCAAGGACAGAATGTACTGGATATAAACACCAGGGGTGGAGAGCCATACAATTTCCCCTAAGATTCTGCTCAGAGTGTGTGGCAAAGAAAGGTTAGAGCTGTGGTGTGTGTGTGTGTGTGTGTGTGTGTGTGTGTGTGTGTGTGTGTGTGTGTGTGTGTAGTGTGTGTGTATGCGTGCATGTTGTGTGTTTATCTCTGGAAACTAACTAATAATCAGGCTGTTTTCTTGATGGGTCAGGATCTGGGTAGCACTAGAAGTGTGACACTTGCTGCTTTAGACGAGGCATGGAGAGGGGTTAGCAATGAAGATTAATGAAGATTACTTACTGCCTTGAGTCACTAGAAGAGTTCTTTTATAACAGTTTCTTCACATGTCATCCTCAGATTTCCAGGCCTTTTCATATGCCATGTTTTTATATACCTTTTCCCATCTGCATGTAATGTGATTTCCACATCTCAATTTCATTTTCATTCCCAATTACTAACATGCCTTTTCTGAAGCAAAGGCTGGCTTTGAGCTCAGAATCTGGCCTTATACTCCTGATCTACACTCCTGATCTTCCTTCCTTTGTCTCCCAAGTGCTCAGAAATACAGGTGTGTGCCACTGTGTCTGGCTCCCCTGGTTAATTTCTGGATTTGTTATTTACATTTATTTATTATGTGTGTATGTACTTGTGCTGTACATACATGCATGTGAATATATGTGGAGGTCAGAGGGAACTTGTAGGAATTGGTTCTGTCTTTCTATTACACAGGTCACACAGAAAGTACCTTTATTTACTGAGCCATCTTGCTGGCCTATAATTTCAGTTTGTGTTTACCACTTTACCCAATTATTGTCATGAAGTTCATGAGGTTAATATATACTTTCTCTATAGGTCACCAAAAGTAGAAAAAACATGATGGAGTGATGGTTGTGGTTTGAATTTGAGAAGTTCCCAAAGCTGCCTGTTTGGAGGCTTTGGCGTCAGTCGATAGGCTTTTGGGAAGTGATTGAATCCTAAATACTCAGACAGATTTGTCCCTTGGTGGGTTTATGATAGCATATTGGGAGGTGGGGCCTAGTTGAGGAAATGGGTGTGAGGGGTACAGCCTGGAAACCATAATCCCTGGCTGTGTCCTTTTTCTCTTAAAATATTTATTATTTATTTGTGTGCATGTATATGTTTATAAAGTGGAGGTCACACAACAACTTGCAGGATTTGGTTCTCTCCCCTTATGGGTCCTAAGGATTGAACTCAGGCTTGGTGGAAGAGCCTTTCCCTCTGAAAGCTTTCTTCTCTTCTCTCTGCCTCCTTCTGGCTGTGATGAGGTGAGTAGTTTTTCCTTCAGTGTGCTTCCCACCATGTTTTGTGTTATGATGGTCCAGGAATAGTAGAACCAAGTGACCATGGATTGAAACTTCTAAAATTGTGAGGCAAAATAAATCTTCCCACCTCTTAAGTCATTCTAATTATTTGTCACAACAATGGAAGAGCTGAAACACTGAGATAAAATTTTGTTCCCACTAAGCCATCCAAGTGATGACCCAACAAACCCACAAGAAAAGTGAGGTTAACTGCTGATTCTACTGCTGTAGTGATGCATGATGGATTTGTGTGTTTATCAGATGTATACTATGGTAAGGGTCAAAATAACAATTAGGGGCAGTCACTACTTGCCCACTTCACAAGCTGGAATTAAAACAACTAGAGAGTAGCTTCTCAAGGAGATGAGACTGAGAACATGAGAAGTTCAAGAGTGGATAGGAAGAGACCTGAAGAAACACAGACTGAAGATTGGAGCAGAGAGAGTTAGTGTCTCCATGCAGTGTGACAGCAGCAGCACAGCAGATGGAAGAGGTTCCAGGAAAAGGCAGAAACCTAGGAAGTACAACCAACATGGAATTAGCATGGTGCAGATGGGCAATCTTAACACTACTTTTCGGGAATCTGCAAAACAGGCTGCTGGTAGAGAACCTTCCTGAATTTCTCAACACACATAGTTGGTGCTTTTGTGAGGAAGGGAGCAGGGTGTGCCAGGCTTTCGGAAACAAGCCCCTGTACTTTACTGTCCCCTTCTGTATTGAAACATTCTACAAACATGAATGTGCTTTCAGTGAATAGCTTTGAAAACCAGTTTGGCCATAAAGGAGACTGTCACACTGTAATTCTGTGTCAGAGGTACTGGTGGCAACAAGAGAAGATTGCATATTTTCCCATTAATACTGGAAGCTCTGTGGCTGGTTTAGAAACTGGAAGAACCAAGCAGATGCATCTGATTAGATGGTAGCTGAACACAGCTGTGGATTGCTGGCCTGCCATCCCAGCTCCCCAGTGCAGATGGTTGCTCTTACCTCTCTCTAGTTGGCCTCACAGAGTCCTGCAGTGCCTGACCTCAGCCTTTTCTCTCTCAGAGACACAGAACTAAACAACACATGGAAATAAGAGCTGACTGGAATAGTAGTGGGTATCCACTCTTCACACATGCAGGGGACCATTTCAGTACAGACAGTGCTTTTCTTTTTTATTAAAGATTATTTTGGTAATTGTTTTGTGCATGCATTTTGCTTCACATTTTTGTCTTTTAATACTTTCCTTTTGTTTTATTTGTATTATTGACCTTGTTCCTACCTCTCTCTTGTTTACTTTTACTCTTTTTTTCCTGCCTAGGTTTGAGTCCAGGCCTTTGCACATGTTAGGCAGCTACAACCAATGAGCTAATGTTCCATTCTCTTTTTAAATTTTCCAATGCATTGTGATCTTTTCTTTGTTTTACTCTTAGGTAATTTTATCATTTTAAATTTTAAACAACTTATATTGTTTTTATTTATGTGTGTGCATATCTACATACATGGTGGGGAGAGAATAACTCGAGGGAATTCTGCTATGTGGATTTGGGGCTTGAACTCAGGTTGTCAGGCTCAGCAGCAAGTTCCATTGCATACTGAGCCATCTTTACAGTCATATCTTTACTTTGTATTATTTGACCTGCCATTCTTGTTGGTGACCTTTTATATATTGTAGTTCTCCTTTGCTTTTTACTTTATTTCTGTGTCTGGTTTGCTTGCATTAGGATGTTTCTCTTTCCCATAGTGTTAGGGATTGAGCCTAATACTTGGAAGTCTTTGTGTAGATGATGTAACACTGAGCCATTCTCCATCTTAGCTAGGATAATTTATATTCTTCTTACCATGGTTCATCTCTGCTGGGACCTTGAAATATCTCTACTTAAAAATAGAGCATATCAGGGCCAGCAAAATGGCTCAGCAGGTAACAGACTAGCCAGTCTGTCTCTGCT